TTCCAGTCTTCTTTAGCACCAATTCCCCATTTCTGAATCCTTATTGCTTACACAGTAAATACAAAGGAGAGGATATAAGAGCAGGTTGGCAGGGCAGAGGAATGCACTAGTCTTGGTCACAAGTTCCAATCAATAGCACACAACCATCCTTCCTCCAATGATTTCCCCCTTCCCCAGATTTTGCCAACGGTCATCTTAGAACTGATAGGTTTTTCTTTCCCGGATGCCCTGGACGTTTCCTTGGCCAAGCCCCACACTCCTGTGTTTCAGAACTGAAGCAACACGGTAAAATACTGCTAACCCAGACTTTGAACCTGCACTGCTTGAAAACAATGCTTTCACACACACGAGAGAGAGGAAAAAAAAACAGACAGACAGAAATTTTAAAAGAGTGACATTGTAACTGGAAACATTTAAATACAGCAAAACAGAAATTCCTCTTCTATGCAAAGCTACAAAAGTCCAGTCTTTGTATTGTCTTCACAGGTTATGGTTTATGGCTATGCTGAGAGTCTCTGAGATTTTTTTTTTTTTTTTTTAATATATTTTTTTTCTTTTTTTTGAAATCCTGTAGAGAAGACCCTGCGGACACATCTTTGTGTTTGCAACTGTTCTGAATTTCATTGCAAAACTGTGCATACAGAATCTGAGAAATAAATACATTCATTACTGCACATACATATTGATACAAAAACAACACTGTCAAATAGTGTTTGCACCATCTTTGTTAGATATTAAGACCAGGCAAAATTAATATTTCATTTTCCATCAGCCTCCCTCTGGTATCTGAGGTGGCTTTGGTGTAAAAACTAAAAACTACAAAGCAAAAAAAAAAAAAAAAAAAAAAAGAAAAAAAAAATCAAGACTCTTGGTGGGGAGCTTTTTGCGTGTAACTTTTTTGGCTTCAGCAGTATTTTAACAAACCCTCTTCATTGGTAATCTTTAGGCTGCTCTAACATGCAAATCAAGCATATCCTACATGGAAAGCCCTGTGGGATTTTGGTTGGGATCTTTTACATAAGATATTAGGGTTTGGACCGAATCAGTCCATCTAGGCTAAGACCGTCCAAACAATATGGCTCATGCCCCTGCACTGTTCTGAACATGGGGAGGGCACTATATATATATAATGCTGTCATCCTCAGTCCAGACCATTAAAACTACCCACATCAGCCTCTCCTCCTAACAGGCGGCAGTATCTCTGCCATAGCTTTGATTGGCAAAGACCGGCACCCAGTTCCATTCCCTTCCGTGGCAACAAAGCCTCACAGAAGCTGCATGTCAAGAGCTCTTTGGTGTCTTCTGTGATCTTTGTGGCTTCTGTGATCTACCCCAGAGAATGGGGCTGGACTTTGGGTTTTTGGCGGTTCCCCAATAAGGGATTAGAAAGCAGGATTAAGCCCAGCCATGTGGCTCATGTTAGGGAAATGAACTGGGCGCAGCAACCCCTACTAGCTCCAGCCAACATCCTTCCCAGAGGCTCTCCCACTCCTCCCACAGATGCTCAGAGACAGGCTGTTTGGAGGACCAATAACCCCTCTTTCTCCTGCACCCATTTCCCACTGATACAGATACCAGCTGCCAATGGCAGACAGTGCAATTTCTTTTTGCAATTTAGATCTAGCAAGAAATGCATGTCGGACAAGGCCACTGCCCTCCTCAACAAAGCCTCAGGTGCACTGCCCTGAACTCCCAAGATGTCTCTCATAGGCCATAAGGACAAAAAAAAATTAAAATAAAAAAAAATCCCGATTCCTAATGACACCTCCCAAACCCCAAGTAGTGCTGGAATGCAGGTTGGTTCACAGACTCATATTTTTCGCTGCTATGAAATGTGATAGCCTTTGAAAAGACAAACCAATGGAAAAAGCAAAGATTAATTTTGACTGGCCCCTAGATCTGTTGAGGTCTGAAACTGTAAAAGTTTATGTAAACAATGAGATAAATATATTAGTATTTTTCTGAGCCAAGTGAGGTTCCATACTCATTCAAATGTGCTTTGGTTTAAAAAATAGTTTTGTGAATTTGGGTATGAGCTTCTTTATTCTTTTTATACAACTTTTGCTATTTTATCTTTTTTTTCCTGTTACTCCGAAAACATTCTGGAACTAAGTGACTAAAGCATATATTTAAGCTGCCTGGCCTCTACCTTTAAAAAAAAAAACAACCAAAAAAAAAACTTTTAAATTGTTTTATTCCTCGAGGCTCTTTGTGTATCTCCAAAAAAAATAATAAAATTAAAAAAATTAAAAACTTAAAATAAAATAAAAATAAGAAATCAAAAAATGTAACTCCCTCCCCCCAACCCTAAAACTCTTAAAATCTTAAATATGAAACTAGTGTTTTGCTTTCTCATTAAAATACAGAAAAATGTTTGATACAATACTATGTCGTACAAATGCAGTTGAGTGTCTAGGCCCAAAGCAGGCCTCGAACAGTCCCTGAAGTTTTGAGTATTATTCGTTATTCATTATTACTGTCACAATTTGGAAAATGTTTATACTCAGTCTATGGAACACAACTCTACGCAGCTACCGGAAAAAAAGAAAAACAAAATTTCCTTTTGTACAATACTCTCGCTGTACACAGACTTTATGTCGTATTGTTTAAGTGCTGAGGGGGGGGCGGGAGGGAAACGATAATGAGGTTCCTTTAAAAATTATATAGCATTGGGTCCTGAAACTTCAAAATGTTTCTCAAGGACCCTTGGACAGGGCCTAGCTCTTGGGGCTCCCTGCACCTCAGGGCTGCTCCATGTCTTGGCTCAGTCAGTCACAGCTTGAGCTAGTTAACGGGGGGAGGATGCTGCACACGCTCCTGCCTGGCCTGCCGTTTTCGTCTGGCAACGTGGAGCCCGGCCATTGCCAGTCCTGGCTGCGGCTGGGGGGGGGGGAGGGGGGGGCGGGGCCTCGGCGAACCGCAGCATGGAATGGAGACATTCACTGTAGCACCACGAAGTGAAACAGGAAAAGAAAAGGAAAAAAAAAAAAAAATGCAAAAAGAAAACAAAGCAACCCAAAAGCCCCAGAGCGAGCGAGTGAGCGACGCTCGGAGCCCCGTCAACGGACGTGCGCCCCTGAACAAAAAGAGCTAAAAATCCTTGTGAAACTCTGGGCTCAGGGGCTTCTTCAAGAGCCAGCGGCAAGAGGAAGCGCCACGCTGGCTGCAGCCTACGTCAGCGGGGGGTTCAGCTTTAGGACCTTTGGCGGGAGGGAAGTCATGGAAGGCAGGATAAAATACCTAGGAGTGAATCTTGCACTGGTGTCCTTGGCCCTGCGAAAGCCTTCTCTGAGGAAATGGTGGGAGGCAGAGGCTTTGCTGCCCTCCCTGAAGGCTATTTTGAGGGACGTTTTCGGGGGACGGGGGTTGGCAAGGGCAAGCGGGGAGAAGAATTCAATGCATTTTTAACGTGGAAATGCTAAAGACACTTAGAAAGGGCGCATCTCAGCACAACAACAACAAAAAAGGATCCTTTCTCCCCATGGGTGCCCCATGACACTCAAGTGAGAGTCCAAGAGCTGAAAAGACAATGGCACTAGTACCACCGGGTGGTGTGAGGAGGGGAGGGTGGCTGGGTGGGCAAGGAGCCAGGATGGGGGCACGCGTGTTCCCTGTAACATGACACCAGGCCAAGGCTCAGCATGGTTTGGTTTGTATTGCATGGAGCCTGGATTCCAGTTTCCTCAGTTCATTCAAATGACCCAAAAGACTTCCTATGGACTAGTCTACCTTAACAGAAAAAACCCTATAGGAAATGAAGCTTATATTTCTTTGTTTTAGTTGAACATGCTCGCTTTAAAAAAATTTTTTTTTACTTTTTTTTTCTTCTTTTTTTGGTCTAAACTTAAAAAAATGGTTTGCTTTTCCCCACCCCCACCCCCCCACAAAACAAAAAAAAAAAGAAAAAAAAAAAAAGACAAACGCAGGGTTTGGCAAACCCCACAGATAAAGGACAATGGTTCTGAGCAAAAAAAAATTAAAATAAAACAAACACAAGTGTAAACCTTACTCAATTCAGAAGGGATGATTCTACTGGCTGTCAATTTTTACCACCACAGTCACAGGAGGCTTGAAATAAGCCATAGCTTTCCACAAGGTCATGCCAACAAAGTCAAGGGGCCAAGAATCGGTGGGCTAAGCTCTCTGTCTTCTCTCCTAAACCAATAGCAGCTGTTGGCTGTGATGTTTTATGCAGATGTTGCATGAACATTTTGTTCCTTAATTTTTTTTTTTTTCATTTTTCTGTCTGTGTGTGTGTGTGTGTTACATTTGCTAAAAGTGAGGATATGAAACACTTTGGTTTGGGTTTTTTCCCCTCCCCCTTTCCCTTACCTTATTGCACTCTGGATTCTAGTAAGTTATAGGCTGCTCCACCCTCACCTTCTGTCCTGCCAGGTGTTTACGCATTGACCCAGATGTGCTGGGGGAGTGGAGGGGTCTTTTTTTTCCCCATAGCATCCAGATTCAATGAACAAAGCCAGAAAGGGCCCAAAAGCTTTAAGAAGTTTCCTTTTTTTTTTTTTTTAAATCTAAAAGTGACTACAGAAAACCCAGAAACATGGCATGAGAGCCATCCTAAGCATTCGGTGGGGCCTCCGGTTTAATACTTTTCTTTGTCTTTGGCCGAGCTCTGCTTTTACATTTTCCTAGCTGACTTTTGATGGAGGACGGGGTGGTAAAAATCCCTTAACTTTAATTTAGCATCTACTTTATACATTTACTTACAATAAGAGGAAAAAAAAAGCCTAATCTTTCACTAACCATCTTATTGTTCTCATGAATTCAAGAGGTAGCAAAGGTAACGGGCCTGTCCATACAGACTCGCTCTTTAGTGAGGGAGGAAAGCTAAAAACATACACACGCACAAAAAATAAAATAAAAAAAATAATAAAAAAGTACCTAAGGAACTTGTAGCAAGTCCAGCCTACATCAAACCCCCTCCCCACCCACCCCCCCGAGTTAACCTCAGACCTTCCAGTTCAAACATTCACATAAACGTTACAATGGTTTTTCCTTTAATAAAACAAGTACCTCTAAGCAAAGAATATTCATACGAAACTACTAGAAAAGTAAAGACGACCCCCTGCTCACTGAAAGAAATTCCCAGGGCCATCCAAATCCCTGTTCAGTCATGGGTAAGGCTGAAGAGGTGTATGCTTGGGGAGGGACGGGGACAGGGGATGGCATGTGGTTGAGCATGCCGAGGTTAAGGATTGAACCCAAAAAGAAACAGGAAGTGTTGCCATCTCCTTAACTGAGACACTTGACTTGGCACACACCTAGGTAGGCTGCTTTTGCCATCGCTAGCCCATGGGATAAGACGACAGCTCCCACCACCATCACGGCTTCCCACAGAATGTAAAGGGGCCGCCAGCCCTGTTACAGTCAGTCCACAGCCACAGCTTCTGCACAGGTTGTACCAGAGGCAAATGCTACAGCGGTTTGTAGCCACTTGGGCTACAACAAAGACTACACATTTATTTCTTTCAGTGGCAAGAAATGCCCTTATTGAGCCTGGTTATTAACAAAACGGTCACAGAAAAGGAAAAGAGACGGTAGCCAGTGGATGACAGTTTCCACTGGCAGCCCTTGTCTGGGCAAGAAATAACACTGGGTTTAAGGGCTGTGAAGCACTGCAGAAGTGCAAAGAGAGGGCTGGGAGAGCCTGTTTCATCAGCACCGATCCAACTTCTCTCCAGGTGATGAAATCTCTCTCCATCCAAGGAGGAGGAGACCCCTCTCCTCTTACCTCGCTGGAGTCAACAGAGCAACACCCACCAAATAAGAGGCATTTCTTACCAGACCACTGACATTCAGGAAAAGTGGAAGGGGGAAGGGCTGCTCTGCAAGTAGCATCAGCTCTGCTGTGGACCTCGTTTCTTTTTTAAAAAATATTAAAGCTACGTTTATTGAGGCCGCCCGTGACTGAACAGAGGAGGGGAGTTGCCCTTTTTAAGCAGCAAGTCTACAGAAAGGTAAATCACTGCGGATGGGCTCGAAGCTCATTCTGGAGTCTTTGGCTTATGTGGGAGAGGTATGCATTCGCAGGTGGCTGATCAGATTGCGCTGCTGGGTGAACTTCCCACCACACAGTTGACATTCGTAGGGTTTTTCTCCTGAGTGGACACGCATATGCTCTGTCAGTCGGTACTGCCGGGTAAAGCGCATCCCGCATTCCTCACAAGCAAAGGGCTTGAGCCCTAAGTGGCTGCGCATGTGTCGTGTCATGGTGCCCCGCTGTGTGAACATTTTGCCGCAGATGTTGCAAGGGAAGGGCCGCGTCAGCCAGTGAGTCTTCTCATGCTGTCGCAGAGTGGCTGGATCCTTGTAGCTCTTCTCACACACCGAACACTTAAAGGGTCGGGACTCTGCGCCGTAGGGCTGGTTGGGGTTGGACAAATCCTCAGCCTCCTCCTTGCCGCCGTACGTGCCTTCCTCCTTGATGTAAAGGTCTTCCTCAGTGTGCGTCTCCACATGGGCGTTGAGCTGCTCAGAGCTGGGGAAGCCCTTTCCACAGGGGATGCAGACATACAGGTTGTCACCATAGGCAACCGGCTCAAACCCTTCCTGCCGGTAGATGTAGTTGGCACTCGTGTGCCCACCGCTCTCGCTCTCGCTCTGGCAGCTGTCGTCGCTGTTCTCCTTGCCGTTCTCCACCTCCTCTTTACACTGGAATGGTAGCTCTGGGCCGTAGGCACCACCCAGGCTCCGCTCTGCTGACTTGGACAAGGGACCCATCAGGATGCCATTGGGCAGCCCGTCCCCCTCCTCTCGGTCTTTGCCCCCATCCTTGCGGTCGAAGGTGTTGTCTCTCTTGATCCACTCCTTCTTGCGAGCCGAGTGCCTGAGGCTCTTGCGCTGGCCACTCTCCGACAAGGAGTGGCTCTCCTCGCCCACATCCATGTCTATGGGTTCGCTGCTGTCTGCTGTGCTCTGGGGGACTCCGACTGCAGACTCGTCGAATGATGAGGCACTGTTGGCTGCGGGGGCTGAGGCAGATTGGGGAGAGCCATGCTGGCTTTCGCTGTGCTGCATGTCATCCTGGGAGGCTGCGGCAGGTAGCGACGGGCTTTTTTTGGACAGATCGAGGCCTAGCTCCTGGTCGCCGGTGCTCCCATTTGCACTGCCACTGCTGCCGCTACCGTTCTTGCTGGCTCCCCTGCTTAAGGAGTGAGAGTTTTCTTGGTTGGAGCTGCTAATGAAGACCTCATCATCAGAGACCTTTCCCTTTGACAGCTCCTTTGAGTGCGAGCCCTTCATCCCCTCAGTCGACCCTGAATAACGAGTTTGGATGACCGATGCCGTGGAAAGTCTCTGGCTCCTGGCAGGTCTTCCAACACCGAGGCCGCCGGCCCTGCCAGCGAAAGATTTCCCGTTCCGCTTCAGCTTCTTTCTGCAGAGAGCTGCCAGGTCGTGCAGTTGGAGGTAGCTTGCTGCGGTGAGGAGAGCATTAAAGTTCTGTTCACCGGGCTGGTCAGTCGTTAAGAGCTTCCCAGTATAAATAAAGTCCAAGATCTGTCGGAACACAGTGGGGTTCACCATGTCCGTGTCTAAGTTAATTAGGTTGTCATGCAGGACGAGGGATTTGAAGTACATGCTGCTGGCTGCCAGGATGTTCTTGTGGGCACGAAACAGGGCATTTTCTACCACTATGATCACGTCACAGAGGAAACCTTTGGCTCGTTGCTGATTCAGCTGCAGTAGCAGTTGTTTGGCATGATTTGGCAGTTCCATCTCCACCTTCTCTTCCTTTCACCTTCGCTTTACCACCTGCAAAACAGAAGAACAGGTGCTGTGAGCCCACTGGTTCTGCTTGGACCCGCCTATATTTAGCATTTGTGTTTGACACTGACTTAGGCACTCCAGACCTGAAAATTGGGCTCCTGAAAAGGAGACACAGAAGAACATTTTGCATGCAAAATCCTCAGGAGTCTTTAAAGAAACCAAGGCCAAAGCCCCAACATGCTGGAAGTCCCTGCCTCAAGGAGCCAAAGAAGGGAAGCCCCAGCTAGCTTGAGGCTTGACAGCTAAAAGCATTCAAGTAACAGCAGCATCACTGCTGTAACATGTAGGTTCTTTTTGAACTCTTAATCTTACAAAACAAAACTGCTCTGGGGTAAAAGCATTATTCGCAGGGCTTAATTCCATCTAAAATGCAATTTAGTAGCACTGAGGCATGAAAGGGAGAAACTTTATACTCTTAACAAAATAAAATAGTGTCAGGTTTGAAAATTGGCTCCTGTTCAAGTTCACATCCTGATCACTGAGGTCAACAAGGAAAAGACCAGGCTTCCTAACTAGGAATGCTCTTGGACAATGAAGACCTAAGTATTGTTATCAATTCTTAAAACAGCTCATCTTGAAGTAGTGTCCTTGTTTCAAAAATAAAGCAAAGAAGATGAAACATGGACATATTTTAGGGTTTTGTTTAAATTAATAATAATTAAAAATAAATAATAATATCTAGTGCCTCATTTCATGCTGCTGCATCCTTTCACAGGACGTACCCCTAACAACATGAGAGAGACGTATATCAACTCCATCTATATGGATAGATTGCACATAGATAGATAGATACTCATGAGTGTGAACTGTCAAGAGATCCAGTGATTTTCCAAGCACCATTAGACATGCCTGGCAGGCACAGCATGAGACTGTGCTACATTTGTGGATTTCCTGGACACTGTGATGCCCACAATAGATTAGGGACCCTATGTATTCACATCTCTAGTGTTTTTCATAATATGTTATCTGGTTTCACACTCTCAAAATCCAGCCCTAGGCCTCAGGAAACAAACCCAATCTGCTGACATACAAAGAAGTACAGGTGTGTCTTCTTCGGCCAAAAATTTGACATTCTTCTTATTAAACAAAACGGTTACTGAAGTTCAGCAGTACCTAACACATACCACGACACACACTAGTCCACAGTTAGTCTGCAGAATATCTACCATTTTCTCCCTCTGGTCATAGACTCAAGAATCGGTTCCAATTCACTTTTAATTAGGAGTAAAACCACTAGTGTTTTCAGCTCTGATTATACTGAAACTCAATCAGTGGACTTCAGCAAAAGAACTGGCCTCCAAAACTGGCTGTAAGTGAGATGCAAAGGAAGAAAGAATTGAGCTGGAGGCCATAAAATCCCACAGCGGTTCTTTTGGACAGATCTGCCAGGTTGGTCATTCTTTTTACCACCTCTGTTACTTGGGCCTATGCTACACACAATAAAAACAAGTACAAAACTATGTTGGTTAATGAAATGGCTTCATCCCAATATGGTTAAAATCAAAGCAAACCTCATGTGGACTCAATTATAGTAGTGTTAGGTGCTTTGTGTCATAGTGACGTATTCCCCGCAAATTTATAATAGGAAATTTTAACAATAACCACTTTTACAATGGTGCAACTGGTCCACACCAGAATCATTTAAAAGTTAAATGACTGTTTAACTATACTAGTTTCAAACACACAGTTCAAGTTGTCCAGGAACTGCATGCAGATCTGCCACTGAAGTTTTGATGGAAATAAAAGGGAGAGAGAAGAGGTGGCACCTTCAGAGCTTGCTCATGTACTGACTGCTCCAGCAGAGAACTTGGACACATTCTTCCTCCCATGCAATCCAGAATTGCAAAGAGAATTTCTCCTCAGTTTGCTTTCACTAGGACTCGTTCATGCTACTGCCTGCTGCTTTTCTCTCCCACTCTGGGTCCAGTGGATGTACGTGTTTTGTCCTATTATTCAAAGGGATTTCTCCTAGGAAACAGATCTAGAGCACGGTAACGCTCTCGTAGCAGTGAGGAGGTTAATTTTCTCTTTTAAGCTCAGTAAGCTAGTTAACAGTTAATGTTTTTACTGCCTGCGCTTCCCATTACTACACTGAGTCCCATCAGCTTTCAAATGATGAGGCATTAGATCTGAATTATTATCCCTCTGGGTCAAGTCTTGTGTACTCAGGGAAAAAAAGAAATACTAAATGATGTTGTCAATACTGAGGCTTGAAAAATCCACTCTTCTACAAGTCAGTGATGAATGGTAAGATTTCCCTAGCAAGGGTGGCGGTGGTCCTACACCATTAATTTCTGCGCCATGTAAGTTTTCAATGAATAAAGTTTCTAGTCCTTATGATTGTGAGGAAAACCTACCAGTTATAAGCCACACAGCTATTTCTCCTCGAGTCTGCTGGCAGGTTGCTCCAGCGCTCCTGCCGCAGTTAGCAGTTTTGTCAAACAATCATTCTACCTCTGGTTAGCATGTTGATCTGCCAACTGTGAGGCCTTTGGTAAAACTTTCTGTGCAAATTCTTTTTATTTGGACCTATGGCATAGTTAAATGGGTACACTCCATTGTTCTCTGCTTTTTCAATAACACGAAGGAGCCAGAGTATATTGGTGAACCTGGCCTCTACCACGCAGGCTAACACTGTTTCCAGGGCTGGATATTTGTTAGAAAAGATGGCAGACAAGGAATACAATACAAGCCTGCACCAAGTACTCATCATCTCTTCTCTTCATCTTCCTCCACCCCCATGTGCAGTGCGTGTCAGACGAATTCGTGCCAGCATCACAAAAACCTGAAGGGACCAGGATCTGTACTGTGACACCGACATGCCCTTTCACAATGTGGACTGTAATTAGTCACACTGGAAAGTCACAGCACACATGCAGCTTGTCTGGTTTTAATAGCTAGTTTCCAGAACTGCCGATTAAGGGGAAGAGACACCAGCACACAGGCACCACATACCCATGTTTATCTAGTCAGTCCAGTAAAATGACTTGCTGCTGGGTCACTGAGATATGTGCACAGAGAAGGGGAGAAACATTACTTACAACATAGCCAAACAGCACCTATCTATAAGTACTCATTGCTCAAGAAGAGCAAAGTACTCAGCTAGTCACATGGTTCTACAAACATGACGCTTGCCCTGCGTGAATATAGCATACCCCCACGCCCCGCTGAGAAGTCTAAGCTATTCTATAAATGAGAGCTGTAGGAAAGAAGGGGCAAAAACCACTCACCTATCCAGGCTAATAAAGAATGTAGATCAGTGAGATGAAACCCAGCTTCTTTTCCAGCGTGTCATTTAGAAAGAGCAATCTGAAAGCCAAGCAGCATGCACCCACTGTGACATGCATGAATTGCAGGCGCTTGTCTGATACCAGGTACTGCAGAGAAAACAGGGCTATGGGAAAGCTCCTTGGTTTTGCTTCCTTCCAAATAAGTTAAGGAAATGGCTGTGCAAGATCCTCTCAAAGTGCCTGGGTTACCCATTTTCCTACTGCAGCACAAAAAAGACAGCTCTACGTGCACCTGTCAGTAATGTGGGGGTGGAGGAATCAGGATTTCAGCTCTGTTACCTTCAAGATCCTCCCTGAAGACTGTAAAACAGGGGTGGGCAAAATGCAGGCCGTGGGCCAGATGCGGCCCACCAAGCCATTCTATCTGGCCCGCGGGGCCCCTAAAAATTTAGAAAATTAATATTTAGCTGCCCCTGGCTGCCTGTTATGCAGCCCTCGATGGCTTGCCAAAACTCAGTAAGCAGCCCTCTGCCCAAAATAATTGCCCACCCCTCCTGTAACAGAAGATACAATCTTCAACCTTGCTGTCCTCTTTAGGTGAGAAGACAACGTGGCATAGGCTGTTTAGTGATTTCTACTTTGGTACCTCAGTGTTCTCAAAGCATCAGAATTCCCGTCAGCATCAGGGATTCTAGGCAGTTCCTTCCATATGGTACTTTTATGTAGGAGCAATGGGAAACAAATGTGTTCTTAGTTACAGGGTTGTAGGTTCCAAAACGAGCGGTCACTTTTCAATTCCAGGCACTAAAATTCAGTAATAGCAACAGCAATGGCATAGTGAACTCCAAAGAGCAAGGCAATACTTGGCCAGGACTATGCACAGAAGCCTTTTGCCGGTAGAACTGCACCAGCACATGACAACACCAAAGCTGTGTTGTTGCTGTTATAACTGCATCGGCATGTAGGGCTTTGCTAGCACAGATACATCAGTGGATCTCACCTCTGACTGACACGGCTGTGCCAGCAAAACCTAGCAGCCCCGACCTGGCTTGTGCAGTGCTGAACAGATCGCCATAAGTCCACTGAATATATTTATTCAGACACTCTAACTCCAAACATCTACTTGTCAGGGATGTACTATGAGACAAGAACAAACCATGTTGCTCATGAGATGGGTGCAGGAATTGTCCTACAACTTCTGAGAAAGGAGAGATCACCTGTAGTCCCCAGATTGCTCCCAAACAGCAGGTATCAGTTTGGATGCAATTAGGAGTATGGGTTAATTCCAAATAAAAGCAATGGGGAACATGACTTTACAACCAAATCTTTGTTACTCATTCATGTCTTTGCAAGGAGAGTGGATCTTCAAGCACTATGTCTCAAGAACTTCCCGAAAAACAACCTGCATTTTGCACAGCACCAACAGGAGCCAAGGTGTGCAACTAGCATTGTATTAGGAATAACTGGAAAGGCTCTTTTCCAGTCTTCTCACCTACAGTCACTGACCCTGCAGCAACAGCAACCCTTGGCTCACACCATTTCCAGAGCTGGGGACCTCCACAAGCTTGTCATGTGCAATAAGGGACAGAAATAAAATGGAGTCTTTCATTTGCCTGTAATGCTCCCTTGGACAGTGAGGTAAAATTCAGAGAGCAGAAGTGTCACACTTCCAAGAGGCTATTCCACATAAAATAAAGCTACACTCACTAGGAGCTGGGAAGGTCTTCAGAAGCAAAGGAACCAAATGACTGAGCAAGCTGGTAATCAATGCATGAGGGGCATGAAGACTGTGCAGAACACAACACATGTTCTAAGAGCTTGGCTGCCTTTAGAAGAAACTTAATCCTCCTTCAGTTTTGCCATCAGGACTCCAGAAAGGAAACTGGTTAAAATTAAGACTGTCATAACGGCAGGAACACATAAGGGCAGGAACAAAAGGAAAAAAAATACTGAACAGGATGAAGTAAAAAAGCCCATTACACATTCAGGTTTATTTAAAAACCTCATGGATAATTAAGTCTCTCCCAAAAAGTAACTGCAAATGAGACCGTAGCGTGTCATCTCTGCAACCTCTGGCAGGAGACACTATTTGAACTTGCTGCTGAGTTTTAGACTGGTGTGTTTTCAAACATTGTGTATATTTTAAATGTAACATCATTGCAAAGAAAAATCCATCAAAAGGCAGGTCTAAGGAATCCCTCATTTAATTTAGAGAGCTCCTGGGTGGGAAGAAGGCTGGGCACTGAGAGACGGAATAGGCAGCCACTCTCAGACAGATCAAATCTAACAGGGGTTGAAAACCATGTATCAAAGCAGCTGCTATAACCGCAAGTATTTTAATAAACAAAAGGAAAAGGTGGTACTGTACTTTGCTTGCGTAGGCACCTATTCTCCCCAGCTGCCATGCTGCACAGCAGTGAATGAGAAAAGGATTTTTCTTCTCTGTACAGGAAGAATCTTCCCTTCAATGGTCTCGAGCTGTAGCAGAGGCCACTTAGATCAGAGAATAGGAGGAACTTCCTGACTGAGGGTGGTCAAACATTGGAACAAGCTACCTAGAGAAGTTGTGGAATCTCCAGCCCAGGAAATTTTGAAGAGCAGGTTGGACAAACACTTGGTTGGGCTGGTTTAAACTGGGATGATCCTGCCTTGAGCAGGGGACTGGACCAGATGACTTTGTGAGATCCCTTCCAGCCCTACTTTCCTACAATCCTACTGCTTTCTCCCTCCACACATTTTCTTGAGCTCCTCTAGCCCTTAACAGACAGAAGAATGTGCTCGGTCTCCCAACTGCCACTGAACCCCTGCAAAGTCCAAGGGTAAATCATTTCACCTCCCCGAGCCTCAGTCTTCCTTTCTGTTTCAGAGGCTGAGAATGCCTACCACTTCCTAAAGTATCTGGTGTAAAAAGAGCCTTGCAAGGGCATCACCACTGTTCTGCAACCCATTTCACACTTTTCCTTGGTGCAGAGAGGCTGTTTACATTGCAGGAACACTGCCAACATGGTTATTTTCCATTTGCGTTTGGGCTGTGCCATGGGCAATGTGGGCTCTTACAGACCAGTGATGCCCCAACAAAGCCCCAAGGAGGGTAACCAAGCACACTCCACGAGGTCAAGAGTGGCAATACTAGCTCTAGCGATCACTGTCATCAGGGACTGTCCCCCCAGCTCCCTCAACACAGGTCAAGTGGGGCTGGAATCAGGGGCACCAGGTACATTTTTCCCATTCTCTCTTTCTTCTGAGAGAGAGAGAGAAAGAGAAGGTGGGGGAAGGAGAGAAGGGTGGGGGGGAAGAGTATCAACCCACTCCAGACAGAGGGGGTCAAACAGCACTGGATGCCGTACCCTCGTTTTCACACATGGAGACTCTCACACGTCATCTCAGAATCTTGCAGGCCAGCAGTGCAAGCTGCAGAGTAGCAGAGGTGGGCAAAGCAGGAGGGAAGTGGCATGCACTGCAGGGAGGACAGGGAGAGAAGGGAGGACTGCGGTACCTCCTCAATCAGTAAGGTCAGCTGTGGGGGAGCTCAAACGGTCTGTGACTGGTCTGCCAAGTTGCAATTAGCGCCATGCAAAACTGTCCTCACAAAGGACAGCATCTCCACTCACTAAAGCAATGCCCCAGAACCACTGCAGAGTTGGGTGCAATTGGCTTTTGACCCCAATAGGCACCATGTTGCCATTTTCTGCTGCAGTTTCTAGATATTCAGTGTTTGGGCAAAATGTACTCAGCAGTGAGGGGTGCCAGGCCTCTCACCCTCAAAAGGGGAGAGGGGGTAAGAAAAATCAAAGCCATCCAAGGTTTCCTCCTGCCCCCTACCCAAATGACACTACATAGAGCCCAATATAGCCACTCCCTTCTCTGATGCATGGCAGATTGTGCAGGAGGGGAGAAAAACTCAAGGGAGCCCTGCATTCTTCACGGCTTTGCTCTAAGGCAAGTACGTGCAGATAATACCACGAGAGCAAAGGGAATCCCAACTAAGGCAAGGCTGCAGCAAAGCAGGGGCACCTTGCTACATCTTGAGACTATGAGCATTAGAATGCAGGTTAACCACTTTGTTGCCGCTTACCATGCCAGGTACATTGGGCTAAAGGCACCTCCATCCAGTGCTGCCCGACGTGCCAGGTACATCCCATGATGTTCCATTGAAATCACAACAGGCCATCAATAGAACGTGGCTGCACAGATGCTGAATGAAGAACCAGCAGGGACGCTGTTAAATGCAATTAAAAAACTGCCATCAAAATTGAAACGTACATTTTAAACGGCTGCCTAATTCAAAAGGGAACTGCTTCTAGGGATAACCCCCCTCAGGCCGCTGAGCTGCCCGGAGCAGGGGCAGCCAAAAGTCCTGGGGAACCCCTTGTAAACCTCCTGGGCCATCTTCCCTGGCAGTCTCCTTTGACAGCAATCCAAGAAATCTGCAGGCACAAGCCAGAGCGTCGGATGGGAACAAAACCCCCCATCAGAATCCTGAGCCCAGCTTTGTACAGCCCGCAGGCAGAGACCTAGCAATTAATGACTGCTGGGAAGGGCAGTGCTTCTACGTAGGTAAAAGCTTCATGCTGCAGCCTTCAGAGTCCCACCTTCTGCACAAACCTTTGTGCATGGCCATTGAGGAAGCCCTATTAAAAGCTACCACAGCCTCCCACCCATCTTCCCCCTGAAATCCTTCTACCATAGAGATGCCATGGCCTTAAGCCAGCCCCGTTTCCTGTGGGTTACATACATGTATGGGAGGGGGAGGGCTGGGGGTTTGGGAAAACCAGTTGTAATGGAGCTGTACTGGCTCCTAAGGACTCTCCCCATTCCTCAGTGACAGACGGTTAAGTAGATCCGTGGTGAATTAGTGTGGCACAAGCATCATGACACCAAACAGTGCTGTGTATTAAACATGTAATTCCACCCGGCCCTGCCCCACAGAAAAAGTCTGCTCTCTCCCCATCTTAAGCCAATGTTACACAGATGCTCCAGGCTTGTCAAACCTAGCGTCTCCCCTTCAACATGCAGCCTCCTCCCTTGGGAATCACCATAATCAACTAAGGAAGGATTACTGAGGAGGATAATCCTGCAGATGAGATGTTAAATACAGGTCCCTTTCGAGGACTGTTTGGAAAAAAGATTGCTGCTCCTTGTGAAATCATGTAAGGAATTAGAACAAAAAAGGGTTTGCTTCCAACTGGAGGGGAGCCCACAAGGCACTTCTGATGCTGTGAAAATGATCAGTCACTGTCAGATCAACACAATTATACAATGAGGAGCCTGGGGTACAAGGCAAGGTTGTGGCAAAGCGCTGTTCCCTCCCCACCAGCCATCGTGGGCTGAACTCTCTCTCTCGTAGCATCCCCTCCCCCTCTGGCTCCCCACCGGGGACCCAACCAGTGATCCAACGTGGGGTGTGACGGAGGACAAGGTAAAACTCAGGGAAACAGGATGGTAAGAAACTGCCCACAGGGCATTTGTCTTTGGGCCCACACCCACAAGCTATGTCCAGTGCATAGTTCAAAGGGTTGGTTGATATTTCACCATCTTCTCGGCAAAAGGAGAACCTGCAAGCTGCACAGCCTGTTCGAGAGGAAATAAAACCCCCACAACTGCATAGCATCACAAGGACTGGGGACAATGCGGTTCTGTTCCCTCCTTACCAAGCAAAACATTTGCATAACTCTAGTCCCTTTTGCCTGCTCTGTGTGTGTTCATCTGGCAAGAGAGTTAAAGATCTTCTGAACATTTTCAAGCTAAAGTTTAAAAGAGTCTGATCCCAGTCACCATTTCATCCTCCCCTCATCCCGCCCCAAAAAAGCAAAACAACACGTTCCCATGAATCAATTCCTTTAAAGGGAATTGATAATAAATGAGGACAGTGAACCTGCAGCTCTGCACTTCCTTCTCGAAGATGAGACAGAACCACAGAGGGACGGTTCTTCAGGGTGCCTGGACATCTGCTAGCTCCTGGGTTCAAGCCCAAAAAACACAGAGTGAGCAGAACCACTCCCCACCTGGATTTTCACAGTTTGGTAACTGAATCCCTTCCAGGCTGAACTAATAGGCCTTTTGTATTGGGGCTGGCCTGTTTTGACTGCTGTAGGCTAAAGATTTAAATCTTGTAAATAGAATAAAGAGGTGAAATTTAAGCATGTGCTTTCTTACTGACCCCATCTCAGCTGAGCCAAGAACAGCGTTTCCTTCAACCGGTTTAAACAGATCGCTGCCAGCTCGAACAGGCCAAACCAGACTGCTAGTTTAGGCACAAGGGTTCAAGCCTGAGTGAGCTGGAGCCCCTCTGTCTCTCTCCCTAATAAACTAAAATCCAGGCAGTGGATCTTGCACATCAGACTGTCTGCATATGCCAATGTCCTAACTCTGCAAAACATCTGGCAGCACCCAGGTTGCAAGGGATATCAAAGGGTGCGTGAAAGTATTTCTAGACTCAGAGGCAGCAACTCCAATGCCAATTTACACACAGATTACAGCAATTTGCTCCTAGCCGCTGGGAAGGGAGTAGCTCTTCCCCATGGTTTCTGTTGTAGAAGGAAAAAGCAGGCAATACAGACAATTCAGAACTGCTTACACAAAGAACTTGCCCACTGACACAGCACCCACTTCCCACTAAAGCCAAGTCTCCTACCAGGTTCCCTTCTTGCCGCTGCACAACTCTTATACTGAACGCCTTTGGTTCTGCTGCCCACATAATTGAGCTTTCCACTTTCCAAACCCTTCCAGCGGGAAAAGAAGGATGCTGGGGAAGGGTTCTCCGAACGGCGGGGTTGCAAAATCAAGTGGCGGTGAAACCCTAACAGTATCTGCAGGGCACGGAGAACCCTTAGGACACAGTAGTACGGTGAAACCAAAAATCACTGCCACAGATACTAGGTGTTCTTGCAGCCTATGGCAGGGGACTGACCAAGCCCACCCAAACATCACACAGCAGGCAAACCCAGCATTCGTCTGAGACAGCTACACCCAGAAGCAGGGCTCACCATGGGCCACACCTGACACACCCACCTGCTGGGTCCCTTTGGCATGCAAAATTCATCTAGCTTTTGAAAGGTAATGAACTGTGGATCCAGGATACCTAGATAAAGGATTTGCACTTGAGGATAAAACAGAGTTCCCTATTAGGATTTTTTAAGGGCTAATGCATGGCTTGGAGAGAGGAAAGGCTGCTGAACCTAGGGTGTGGCACCAGATTGGAGCTGTTGCACAGATCAAGTGAACCAGTCAAAACTGCCCTCACCAACCCCACCAGCTCCATGCCATGGTTCACCTTGGTGTAGAGCAATGTTTCTCAACCTGAGGGTGGTGACTCAAAAGTGGGTCACAAGAATACATAAAAGGGTCAAAAACAAACTTAAAAAAATGGATCAACAAACTTTAAAAATGGATTCTCCTATAAAAGAGAAAAATGTGGGAAACCAGGGCTTTTCCCTTGCAGGCGGGCAGAGTTCCTGCCTGCGAGGGGCTGCTTGGGGCCCCCCATGCTCTCCCCCCTTGCCCTGCACATTGGGGGCCTGGGGGTGAGCGGTAGTGGGTTGGGAGTGAGAGGCACTGGGTCGGGACTGGCCGTCAATGTTTACAAATGGGTCCTCATACGGAAAAGGTTGAGAACGCTGGTGTAGATGGCATATAGCAGCTCTGTGCCTACCTGGACCAGTGGCCCACAAGAGGCAAAGAAGTCCAAGAGACTCTTTGCCCTCTGGTGGGCATGTAGTTTCAATGTGCTATGCTGGTATCTCAGAGATACAAGAATAAGCGCAACACCTCCTCAGCTTAAAAGGCTAAAGCTGAAATCTAAAATCTTGAGACAAACGCACACGTTTCCCCTCGAATAATACTCCTAGGTACAGGATCGGCAAGAATAGCATCGAATGTGGAGGCCAGCGAGTGCAGTACCAGCAGCAGCAGGAGCAGCCGGCCTGCCCAACCATTGCTGGATCACACAAATCAGTGACTGGGCTCTGCTGCCATGAACTTTCAACCAAGAAAGCTACATTCTTTGACACCAGCAATCCAGCCCCAAGCCCCTCCCCACACCATCTGCCCTTTCCAACAAACGCTGAAGGAAAACACAGCAATTTCCATAGAATTCAAGACAATGGGCAGCAGTGAATCCAAGCACCCTTTTAAAGACAGGCAGATGGAAACAGGGCTGCAGATGAAGTCAGAGATATAGTCCGATTAGGAATATGAACCAGTACAGGTGCATTTCCCAAATCATACAAAGATTAACGGTCCTTGCTCAGTATTAAGTCTTACCCAATCTGCAAGCAGGAATTGCAAGCAAAATGGCTCTGAATGCTCGGCTGTTCTAGTTTAAAGTTACATCTCTCAGCGAATCGCACATATGCATGTACCTCCTGCAGTGACAGGAAACGAACAGGTAGCCAGATGCAGGAAAGGGGCAAACCTTATCACTATGTGAAGAGAGGTAGTCTAAGAGATTTTTAGCCAATCTGGCTACATAGTATTTAATTGTCAAGGGATGAAAAGGAAGGTCATTTTGTATCCTTGCCCTACAGTGGGTGGGTAGAAATGCCCTATCAGAGCTTTCCAGGCTGTGTACCCTATCTCAGCAATCCCATCTCCTCTATCACTTACATTGTTGAAAACTCTCATGGAGCATTCACTACATGTCTAAAAGAGTCAACAAGGGCTCAGAGGACTAGGAGAATAGGGAAGGATTTGGAGAAAGGTTCTCCTAAGGATCCTGTTTGTTTCCTTCCTAGAAGCCCCTGGGTTCAGCAACGTTTCTGGCAGTGTCAGAGTGTGGACCTACGAGCAGGAGAACATGACACCAGTGCAGGGACTGCATTACAATTCTGTACTGAGGCAGCAATGGGATCATTAGGGAACCTGGCTTCATAGTAAAAACTTGGACAAAAGACATCATTCACTACTACAGCATAAATACTGGAGAATGCAGAAGCTCTTGTCATAGAAAGAAACAAAATTTTGCTATGTCACTTCTGCAATTTTTCCTTTGACCTAAAAGTCATTGTACTACCTCATCAGTAGCTGTACGTTTTTGCGCTCTGTATCTCCATAGCAAAATATGAATTTGATGCCTTTGCTGCTGATGTTAATTAGAACATTCTTTCCAAACATCATGTGTACTACACACATGCAAGAGTCTGAGCCAACCACTAGCCACGTACTCAGCTCCCACTAGCTTTCAACAGCTCAAAGGCGCTCCAACTTCCAAGTGAACGACTT